AAATAGCAGAGACACAGGTGCCCACTGTGAAGATAAGACCTACCTTGGAGAACCAGCTAAATCCCACATTGGCTTTTTAAAATGGCACAGAGACAGGTACATTGTAGTATCCTTCCCTTGTAGGCACCACAGTTTTTCTCCCATTGTGGAGAACAGGACCAATACAATGGCATTGGTCCGATGAAGATAGCATAAAGTATATAAAACAAAATGGAGTCCCTCATGGCAACCAAGATGGTTGTTAGTCAGCCAGGACACTTTGGTTCAAGAGGGAAACTACCTAAGTCAGAGCAGACACATCTGGCAAGGAGACACACCTAAGATATCTGCAGAACAGCCGTGTCTGCAGAGCAGGACCACCCATAGATAGGCTCCTGGGAAAAGTCCATATTTGACATCAGAGGTGTCAAGCAGAACAGCCATGTACCACCCATAGGTTCCTGGGAAAACTCCACATTTGGCGTCAGGGCTGCCAAGACATTTATCGAAAAGACCCAGAAGGGTGGAGCACACCACTGTCAAGGTATAACCAAGGCAGGCTCCAGACCACGGCTGAGACAGCCGAGCTCCACACCCCAGAGGGCTGCTCCACACCACACAGATCTCCCTTGGCATCCAGCGCTGAAGGCTCTGCCCTGCTGGACTGGGGACTTCGTCTGCCCTGCTGCCCACCTGGCTTCAGAGATCTGTCCTTGCAAGAACGCTGACAACTCCTTTGTCCACTGCTGCCTCCCTGAGCTGCAGGCTGACACTCTGGGACTTGGATTCATTATCCACACCCCCATCCCCGTTGATTGCTGTGTGTGTATTATAATTCTTAGATTAATGTTAGAGTATGAGTAGGATGTTAATGTGTGTTAATGTTCTGCTGTGAGTGACCCAGCATTCAATAAGAGCTGAGTGAATAGCAGAGTTACTGTATGTGACGCTCATCTACTCCTTGGTGCCAGGCTGCTCCGCAGGCAGGGAGCCGGGCAGTTGTCCGGCTGACTTATAGGAAAGACTATATCACGAACAGACACTCGTGACACTCATAAAACTGCTATGATCAGGTTTCAGCTAGTTTTACTTAGCAACGTCTCTTCTGCCTTAGATCTTTAATAAACTTCAACTCTATGTGTATGCGACAAATGCTGTGTCCTGGGATCACAAAATCCTTAAAATAACACATAGGAAATCTATCTGAGGCCCCACAGAGCTTCTTCAAGATCTGTCTTCGGCCGATCATTTTAGCATGGACTGATAATTTCACCAGATAATAAAGATTTGTTTCCCCAGCTGGAGCCTCTTGTTCCTAATTTAATTAAAGCCATAAATATACAGGGGCAGGTAAAAGTAGGTTCACAGTTGTGAGTACATGAAACAGAGCTCATTGTTGTATTATTGTCGATTGAGTACTCTGTTTTTTATTTGTATTAAACCTGTGACCGACTTTTGCCAACCCCTGTATTCTGTCCAGAAAAAGATTGAGTGACACAGAGAAGGGATCTAGAGACATGTTATGGGAAAAAGTATGGAAGGACCTGGGCTAGCTTAGCCCAGAACAGTGAGATGTCTTTAAATATCCACAGGACTACCACAGGAAAGAGAGGGCAACTTGATGCTTGTAATACTTACTCCTTTTTGCATATTTCCAGTGACAAGTGGGGGGGGGTGGACAACGACACATGAGTCTCTGGCCTCCAAATTAACCCACTTCATTTGCAGCAGCAGAAATGGTAGAAAATGTACCTTCGAACACTTGCAAGCAGCTTCTATACGCCCACCCTCCCCCATCTCAAAGGCTCTCTTCTTCTCCTAGCTACACATCCCTGTATTGTCTGTTCCTTACCTGACAAAATGTCAAGAGCCCTTTCCATCCTATTGAGTCTCTTATGAAAGCACAGCAGCCCATCAGCGTCCCTCTGTAAATGTGGAGCCCAAAGGCAGGCTGCAATGTACCAAGCATAGTCTGACCAGTGAAGAATAGAGTGGAACCTTTCTGAGTTTTTCTGGGTCTTTCTGGGCCTGAATACTATGTTAAGGTCATCTATAGTCAGAATAAGCGTTTTACTTTCCTTTGAGTTCAATATGTCAACAGTACAATATAGGTGCAAAAAACCCAAAGGAATATTTGTGCTTAACCCATGGACACGGACAGCAATATGGGGATTCACTTGGGGAGGGGAGAAGGCAGGGTTGTGGGGGGGGGGCAAAGGGAGAAAAGTGGGAACAACTATAATAGTATAAACAATAAAAAAATTAAAGGTTTAGAAAATCCTTATTTTGTGTCTTTTTCACAAATATGTATCTATAAGCCATGTCTTCCCAATTCTTTTTTTAAAGGTTTTATTTCCCTTTTTCCTTGTTTTGTGGGGAGGTGCACCCAAAATTATAAGCTTACTACATTTATGTTTATTACAATTCGTACTGCCCTTTTGAATCCCAAGTCTATACCCATCTATATGTTCCTTCTTCTGATTTGAATGTTTGCTTACTATGCCACCAATATTGTCCTCTACACAAGCACAAAATTATTGAAGAGAATGAAGCCGAAGCCAAAGCCTAGTGTTTTTCCTTCCTCAGAAATTGTCCTCCAGACACACATCCATTCTAAAAATATATTTTATGAGTGCCCTTTACCCAGCATTTTCAAGGCCATTCCAAACATTGACAAATCCCCTAAGTTTAATCTCCACATTTCTCTTACAGGAAGACACTTCGCTGAATTCCTTAGGAGACCCTAGTATTCCATTTCTCCAGCATTCCATCCCCCTTTTTTTCCATTGCAGAAATCCTATTGCACAAAGACACTGCATGATGCTGCCAAGTCCTGTCTTCAAGGAACCAACATCAGGGCTAATGATTATGCATTCCTCTCCTAAAAGCTAAGGAAATAAACTTGTAAATAATTCATTCTAGATTCTTGCAAGGAGCAACATCAAGAACACAAGTTTTGTAATACTTCTTCTTTTTGAAATACAGGACTACAACTAGTCATCTCTAGACAGGGGACATCTCTGACTACTTAGTGACTATTCCCAGTGATATAGTGTGAACAGTTTGCATCCGCTGGTATTCTCAGTGCCCAGGGAAGCTTTTCTTCTAGCTGGTAGACCTACACCCAAATCCAGCCATAAAGTGCTCACTTTCCATCTGTAATCCATGGCAAATGTTATCTCCTTCCTACCAATATCTCATTTACTTTTTCTGCTCTGGTATTGACTTTCTCCTTGACAAAGAAGATGTATTTCTTCTTGACATGTGTTCCTCCAAACACATGTTTGTTCCTCCCATTTACAGTTAAAGAACCGAGGGTCAGAGAGAAGGGGGCACAGGGTATGTGTAAGACCAAAGAGCAGTTGTTCAGATACCTGCTTCTCTTTGAGAAGAGAGTTGTTAAGTGACCAACCTGTGACGTGCTGTCACTCCCATTATGTTGGAATGAATGATCGCAATGGACCTTTAGAGGTCCAAAGAGTTTAAATAATTTGACCAAAAGAGTCCAGTACAACTCCAGATTCTTACTGGCGATGTAGAGGTTAGATTCCACACAAAGCCTGGAAGGGATGAGAAACGCCATTGAAATTCTAAGAACAGAAAACTAGGTGATGGAGGAAAACGAAGGTGGCAACTAAAAGCTGTTAAGATTTTCCAGTTGTGCCTCATGCCCACGGCCTTGTGAACAGGTAGCCCACAATGGGAATCGCCTGGGGGACCGTGGGCGGAAAGTGTGGCTCTGAGATTTTCTGAATACATTAGAGGCTCAAGAGCTCTAAAGGTAACAAAGCAAGCCACCTCCAGACTCCAGCAAAGGCAGCAACAGCTGCTGCTTACAGCCCTGCCAGCAGTTCCCTCTCCCCCGACCCCCACCCCCAGCTTTTGGCCCTCTGCCAAAAGGTTGAGGACCCTAGGGTTTACAGGCTGGAAAGGCAATCACTATCCGAGTCAGCAGGCGCCATCTACTGGAGGGTCATCCCACCTGCCTTTCCTTTTCAAGAAAGTGCAAAGGGTGACCCAGTGACTGCTCTGCCTACTTGGGCCTTTCTTGGTTTTTGTTTGTTTTTGTTCTGCTGTTCTGCTGGGTGTTTAAAAATATATCTTAGAAAAATATCGGGGACTGTCCTGACTAGTTGTGGCTCAGTTGCTGGGAGCCGTTCTGCAAAGCGAAGGGTTAGAAGAGTGTCCCGTGAAGGTGCATGCTTGGGCTGCAGGTTCAGTCCCCGGTCTGGGTGCCTGCGAGAGGCAATCCATCGATGTTTCTCTCACATCGATATTTCTCTCCCTCTATTTCTCCCTCCCCTCACTCTAAACATAAATAAATAAAATGTTTGTTAAAATATTGAGACAAGCAAATCTTCAATAGTTATAAATGACAATACATTTGAAAAACTACATCTAAAAAAGAAACCAAATTAAATCCTTTGCCCCATCCGTTTCTGGTAGTAGCCTCCAAAGTCAGAGAAAGACTACAGACGTGTCTTTTTCTTTTAATTGCTCAGTTCTTCAAAATGTATGGACTGAATCTTGGGGATACAGTTTGCACTCTGCGCAGAGGGTTTGCACAGAGCTCAGTGCCCACCCGCGGGAATTGTGGCTGTAAAACAGGGGACAGGCAGTGGTCCCTGGCCTAGAAGAAATGAAGATATCGCTCTCAGGGGGGAATTTTCGAGATCTTTTGCAGCAAGTGTGTTCTCTGTTAGGAAAATCAGCTAACGACTACCAATCATTACACACAAAAATTCCTTGTCACAGGCTTGGCCACCCTCTCCCTTGGGGCTCTCAGTCCCCTGCATCCCGGCCTGTTTCTCTTCGCTGGCCCTTCGCTGACGACGGTAGCTTCCAGCCATAGCTGGCTGGGGGTCTGGGCTCAGAGGTCCGTTCGGCAGGCCACAGGCCAGTAAAAATGTCTCATTCTGTTTGTGGCATTCCAGACCTGACTCCCCCCAGGTGAGCTGCCAGGTTGGTGCACCAGGACCCCACTCGGCGCCCTGTGACCTGTGAGGCGCCCCATTGCTTACCTGGAGTCCAGAGCAGGGTGATCAGGAAGCCGAAAGCCAAGACAGCCAGGGCACCATGGCCATGACGGGGAGCGAACATCTTGGGGCACAGAGTGCAGTGCGCACTCTCGCTTCCCTCTGAGTCCTTTCGCTCCTCGTTCCGACGAAAAAGGCAGGGAAGGGGCGGGGAAGGGGGGAGGTCAAGGGTTTAAGGTAAAAGATCTAAACTCTGTCTTCGGACTTCTTACCTCTGAATTCTGACCCTACCGCCTCTTCCCGGCCCCCTCCCTTGCTACTGTCTCAGCGCAGGGCCGCCCTCTTCCCCTGAGACCCGTCCTGGGGCCTCGGAGATACCGAGCTATTCCATGAGAGGAACACAGCCTAGGCAGTCTCGCAGGGACTCTCGCTCTCTGCCTAACACTCTGTCTCCTCCCAGGCCCACGATTCCCTCTCAACCTTTGGTGGCAAGTAGGGTGTCGGGGTTCAGGACGCCCGTACACCGAACCTGCGACTGGGGAAGTCGGCGCCGGCACAGGTACCGCTTAGCTTCTCTGCGGCGCTCGCAACTTTCTGCCACTGTGTTGAGAGGAGGCGGCAAAGTTTGTCTCTGGAGGGAGGAAGTTCGGGACAACCGGGGGAGAGGATGGGAAGGAGGGAGGAACCAGGAAAGGGAGCCTGGAGGAGTGCGTGGAAGAGCCCAGAGGAGGCTAGTGCAGCTATCCAGGAGAGCGCCCCTAATCGACTGATGGCCCTGGGGCTAAGCGCCTCAGTGCGGTTGGGAGGGAGCACCTGCCAGAGCTGCATTTCCCTTTCCTCCTTTCGGGAGCCCACCAGTTCCCTCCCCCAGGCTGATTTCTTCTTGGCCTGAGTTTCGGACGGTATCCGGGAAGGATGTGGGGGGTTCTTCAGGCAAGGAGAGGAAGCGTACACGTCAGCGCGAGTGCTCCCGAAGGAGAACAGTTCTGGAGCTGACTTCAGGCCTTCCGAGGCAGGAGGTTACTGTGTGCTCAGAAGGTGAGGACTGGGGGCAAATGGGTAGCACAGTCTGCCATAGCCAGCCGGGTAGGGACGGACGGAGACAAAAGCACCCAGACAGCTGGAAGGGCTATGGAGATACAGATTCTAGGGAAGTAATTGGCAAGTAGCAACAGGCATGTGGTAGGGGGTGTTTGTTTTTGGCAGAGCCAGCTGAGACGTTATTTCGGGGAGGAAAAAAAAAAAGCCAGTTCATTTGGCTTTTAGTTGGGGGCCTGGGTAAGAGGCACTGGTCCCCCAGGCAGGAAACTCCCCCACCCCAAGGCTGAGCCGAGGACTGAGTCGCAGCTTCAGGAGGGTCCCCTGCGCCCCCTCCCTACACAGCTCCTTTCCAGCCCACCCAGAGGACAGGAGGGACCGCAGTGGTTGTTCACTCGGGCAGGACAACATCAAATGACTCAGACACCGGCTTCCCATCTCGGGTCTCGATCTTCCTCACAACCACTGTCTTGCAGAAGGAGCTGGTGCTGGTGCAGCTGAGGGAGCCAGAGACCCTGTCAGAGCCCAAGATGGCCTGAAAGTCCACACCATAGTTGATGTTCCTGTACATCGGACTCATCCCACCTGAGTAGCCACTGGTGGTCCCAGAACATGGGAAGCCATGTTCTGCACCCCAGACTCCAGCCAATTTTCCTTGCCCTCCAGCAGCTTGCATATTTTGAATGATCACACCTGGGGGCGAGGGAACCAGGACATTTACGTCCCTCCCCCATCAGTCATTGTTTAAGAGCTACTTCCCTGCAGGGTACAGCAGGCAGTAATTCCCAGGCACTTCTGGCCTGCGATATGTATTCAGGGCAAAGTGGGTTCTCACAGCCTGAGAACAGCCCTCTAACAAAGACGCAGGTGCTGGCTATTGAAAGGCAGGTTGTTGTCCACAGAAATCAGAAGGGGAAGTGGGTGGAAGACCAACAGCCTCTGCTGTGATGTAGGCATGCATCCTCATCTATATTATCGTCAGCTCTAACATATTCAGTAGTTTCTGGGTGTCTGGTCTACTGCCGTGTTGCTCTAGGAATGGATGGTCCCATGTCATAAGAAGTTCACACAGGGCAGGTCTGAGTTTCAAGCCCAGCTCATTCACTAAGCGTATGACCCTGATCCTTACCTTTGTCATCAGAAAAATGAGAAAAATATTCACACCTACCCCTTAGGGTTCTGGTGAGGAACCCATCACAGAGGTCAGCACATTAGCAAGTGCTTTATCAATTCAAGCTAGTATTTATCAATGACTGAAAGGATTTGGTGTTGATCCTGCTGTTTAGTACATGAAATGGGGGAAAGTATATGCCTATAGATATGGGGCTGGAAATGAGTGTGGGCCGCCTTAGCTAATGTTGAACAGAAAACAGAGGGCATGAAATCTAGTGACCAAGGGCGTAGACATTTAGGAGGGTTCTGGCTGGAGCTTCACTTGTGGTTGGCTTGCTACCAAAGCTTAGAAGCTCACTTCTGTAATCCCAAGAATACACACTTAGAGAGGAATTTGTACTTGAAGGTGATTCACCACTCCATAAGCACCATGTAAGTAGGAACAGTGTCTAATTTGTTTACCTCTATAGTCCAGATAGTGGAAGTGGTTAGACACGCAAGTACATATTTGTTGGATTAATAAATGAATGAGTACAAAGCGATATACAGAGCTTTTTACTAATCTGGCCTATCAGTATTTTAGTCATGCTATTTCTTCCACTTGTAATACCCTCTATTTCTCTTCCCAACCTCTGCCCCATGCCTATACATGTGTGTGGTAAAAATATATATATATCCTTGCCCAGGAGAACTCTGACCTTTGCTCTTACCTTCTGGGAGGTAATCTATAAGCCCTTGGAATGTCGTATTTGATAGGAGTGATTTAGGGTAAGGTTTTGTCCATACCAACAATATGATTTAGGGTGCAGGCTGTGGTTTATCTGGCATCACATTAGTTCCTGAGGAGACCGGAGACTGAGGTCAGCCACGGGGGGGGGGGGGTGATGGAGCCCCAGTCAAATCTCTAGGAGTTTGGCTGAGCTACTCTGATTGTCAGTACTCTGTCATGCGTATTGTCACATATCGATGTCAGTACTCTGTCATGCATATTGTCACATATCGATGCTGAAAAAGTAACCCTGTCCTGACTTCACAGGGGCAGGACCACTGACGCCCAGCATTTAGTACTTTCTTGGACTCTTACCTGTGCTTATTTCCTTGGCTGATTTTAAATCTTATCTTTTAGGCTTCATAATCCATAACTGTTAGTATAACAATGAGTTCTGTAAGTCTGTATAGTGAACTGTCAAACCTAAGGGTGCTCTTTTTAAAAAAATATTTTATTTTTTTTTTTTAGAGAAGGGAACGGAGGGAGAAAGAGAGAGGAAGAGAAACATCAATGTGTGGTTGCCTCGCATGTGTCCCTCGTTGGGGACCTGGCCTGCAACCCAGGCATGTGCCCTGACTGGGAATCAAACCAGTGACCCTTTGGTTCCACAGACCAGCAATCAATCCACTAAGCCACACCAGCCAGGGCCATAAGGGTGCTCTTGATTTAGAATTGCAATTGGTGTCTGAAGGGAGGGTGGTATTCTGGGTGGAGTGATCATCCTAACTATTCTGTTGCTCTAACCTTCACAACATGGTAGAATTTCCAGTCCTCTGAAGCTTAGTTTATACCTTTCCTTATTTGGTAGAGTTTTCTAATGTTCATCCATATCTACTACTCCTGTTCTTCTGAGCTCACAAGACTTATATTTTTCTGCTCCCTTGAAGATGGGTGAGGCCATGTGATCAGTTCTGCCATTTTGATCTATGACTGGAAGCAGGGCTGGAGAGTTTAGTCGTAAGTGAGAAGCTCTCTAGGGTTCTCTCTCCCTCTGTGGTGGTTATGGAAATGTGTGTTGAGAAGGAAAAGCAGCCCAGATTGTGTACTATCGCATGGAGAACTGCTGCCCTGGAGAGTCATGTGGACCCACAGAAAAATTTGCATGAGCAAGAAATAAACTCTTATATGGTAGGCCATTGAGATTTTGGGAATACCTATTACTGCAGCACAACCAAACTTATCCTGACTGGTTACAGAGATTTTTCTCTGTCGGAAGTAACCACGGCATTCACTGAGTGCCTCCAGATCCCCATCCATCCCTGCCATAATACATGCTTCTATGTTTTCACTAAACTCTGAGTGACTACGAATAGAGTTTTTATTTTGGTAGTCTTAGTATCCCTAGTGTACCTATCACAAGGCCTGGTTGAAATTACATACTCAGTATATGTGTGTTGAATCTAATTCATCAGGTTGGAGGCAGGACTATGGAGACGTGTGGCTCTTGTGAAGATAGACATAGTCTTGTCTAGCAAAATGTCTTAAATGATCTATTGGAGAGCCAAGTAGAAGGAATAGAGGTTTCTGAAGAACACAAGACCACTCTATGCCCACATACCATCCCTCTTTTACTCTTCCCCAGTGACAATAAGAAAGTGTCCACATGACACGCATGGCCTTCTGGAGGAGGCCACAACGCAAGACAAAAAGGGGAGAGATGAAACCAGAATAGTGTGCTTCTAGGGGTACATGAATTTTACCTCCAAATACCACTCTTTAGCTGTATTGCAAACCCAGCTAGTCGTACCATATGGCCAAGCTGAATTGTTCTGCACATGGTGGGACTACTGGAAATGCTGGGTAGTCTCATATTGTTCTCTGGGACCTGGCAGGCAAAGGCCTGGCAAGCAAAACCTACCTCGTCAGTCCTATATCCTGGTCAGGAGAGAAGCTTCTGGGGGCCAGGGGTGAGCAGACCAACATGAAGAAGGAAATCCCAAAGGGTTCAAAAGCTAAGTGAGTCAAGAGGTACAATGGTGACTTCCATGACTGAACCACCGAAGTAAGCCAAAGCCCACAGCAGAGACCAGACCGTGGTCCTCCTCACACTTGGTTTTGGTAGACACAAAAGGACATACGGCTTCAGTACACTGTTGGAGGCCTAGGTTAGAACATGTAAGAAATAAGAGTTTTTGCCCTGGCTGGTGTAGCTCAGTGGATTGAGCACAGGCCTGTGAACCAAAGGGTCACTGATTCAATTCCCAGTCTAGGGCACATGCCTGGGTTGTGGGCCAGGTCCCCAGTAGGGGGGCATGTGAGAAGTAACCACACATTGATGTTTCTCTCCCTTTCTCCCTCCCTTCCCCTCTCTCTAAAAAAATAAATACATAAAATCTATTTTTTAAAGAAAGAAATAGAGTCCTCAAGGAACATATAGGGAGTGATAACCATTCACATGTTAGTATCAGCTCATTCTATATTCTTACTTCAACTCCCCCCACCCCGAATCTGCACCACCCACCAGGAACCCTGTGAGAGAGAATAAGCAGCTCTGAGAGCAGTTTGAGTAGGGGTGGGAAACGGGTGAACACCCACAAGAAAGGTAATCTTGCCCGGCCACATTAAATGAGCACCCAGCTTCTCCAGTGTGAAATGCAGTTCACAACCCCGTTGTATAATGGCTGCCACAAAGACTAAAAGAGACCCTTATATGTAAGGTTACTAAAAATAGGAGGAATTATTGTATTGAAACAAGCCATAAGCCTCCTCCATCAGACCTGGTGGGAGCCTTTCCAGGATAGAGATAGGTCAGGGGTGACTTGTTTAGGAAGAGGCCTTTCCTGGGAGCTGGGATGAGCATCCTCTCTCCCTTCTAATTCTGTCCATCTGGGCACAGCACAGAGACATCTCTCCTGACCCCTGAGCCCCCTCCCCCACCCCAGAAAATCCTAAAGAAAGTCGAGCAAAAAGCCATCATACTCAACATAATGACCTTCCAATGCAGCCCTCCACTTTGGAAGGTCTTCTGAAAATTATACTTTAAATCCACCGTCCCCTCAGCTCCCAGTTGAAGGGAGAAACAGTAATTACACAAAGCAAATTGGAAACTTAGTAATTGGAGAGATGAGTGGCGTGTCCATTGGTGAATACAACTGAGGACAAGAAGTGGGTAAATGCTCATAGCAAATAATTTTCTAAGTAGTGCAACCATTCTTCATGGTCGTAAAGAATATGGATTTATCATGCGCACCATATGGGATTTTCAGAAACAATTCTTCTGCCAATGAGATGTGTTTTGTTTTAGGTACTTCAGGAAAGAACCAGCTGCATCCAGGAGTGTAAGATCCCCTCCATTTGTGTCCTCACTCTCCACTGTAGGATCCTCAGAAGGTAATCAGGCAGCACTAAGACCAGACGCAGCGCTCTCACTGTGCAGGAGGTCATTGAGATTCAAGTTTAGTAGCTGGGGAAGCAGGCTGCTGAGAACTGAGCCTTCTGAATTTGGTGGAGAGAGACAGCAGACCCCATGGGAGGGGAGAGGGTGGGGGCAGTAGAGAAAGGGGTTAAATGAGAGAGACAAGAAATGAGGAACAGGTAAAAGATTACTGATGGTCCCATGATCACATTCTCCAAATCCTCTGGGAGGGGCACATCCCCAAGGCCTAAAGAGACAGGGTTTACAGCATAGCCCAGAGGCATAGTCTCTGCTCTTCCTCCCAGTTCTGGAGGTTGAAACAATTATCTGGCTCCTGAAGTGCTTTATTAGGCTCAGTGTTTAGTTGTTCTCGAGAAAGGCAGGTGAGGCGGCTGTGCCAGAACACAGACCCACTATTGGATGTTGGTGGGCAGCGTAAGATGCCACTTGGGAGTCTGTGGGCAGCAAGGAGCGTCTATGTGTAGGTGACACCATGATGAAAGAAAGAGTACAGTCACTCCAGAAGACAGAAGGAGACGGGACTGGGAGCATTAGGAAAGAACTGGGATTAGGGGATTCCTCACTCACGTGGTCTCTGGCTGGGTCCATAAAACAAGTTCTATGCTCCCACAGGTGCACAGGTGCAAGGCCAAGGAGCAAGCTAAGGAATGGGCCTCCAAGGGTGGTCCAAGAGCCAGGTAACCTGATGGACAGTCCCATCCATCAAGACACTTGAAGTGCCCATAGTTGCAGGATCAAATCCAATTCTAGAGACCTACTGTTCCAGAAAGAACGTAGAAGGCCCCAGAACATGGATTACCTGGCCGTGGTGTGGCAGCGCTAATGGGACAAGGTTAGGTTGGGGTAAGGTGCCTGCCACCAGGTAAATTCCCTACATTTGCACTTGGTAAAACACACACACACACACACACACACACCACAAGAACTATGCGCGGAGGTGTCTTTTTACTTCTTTTATTGAACTCCATAAATATTTTCATAAGGCTTTGTGTCATTACAACATCATATTTTTGTTGTTAAACAGTTTTAAACACACAACTTTGACACTTGTTTGACAGGGTCAAACAGTCAGGTACAAGAAACAAAATAAACTGGCAAATGCAGAGCAGCAGGGGTAATCAACATTGCTGTCACCCGTCCATCCACCCCAGCACCCCCCCCAGCCCCAGAGCACTAAAAGATCACTATTTGGCTTTACACTAGAATTGCTAGAACTCTCTTGTTGCTGTCCTTATAAATCCATTACAGATATACACAGAAAGAGAAGCGGGGAGAGGGAGAGGGAAAGAGGAGTTGGAATTCTGTGTTAGGACCATCCCACAGCAGGGCCCACAGAACACATCAGCAAAGCCTTTTAAAGAGCAAATCCAGGCCTCATTGAGCTGAGGGAAAGGGAGCTCAGGGCCATGCAGAAACGAAGATTTACACAGTTCTTGGGGATAGCACTGCTGTCAGAACACAGGATAGGCTGGGAGCATGAGCCCAGATAAGGGGGGCTCCCCATGGGGCTGCTGGCCGCTGGTTTGATTTGCTGCCATAGGCTGGGGGAACACTACAACCAAGGATGAACTGATGTGTTGTTTTCACAAGTTACTGACATCTGGCGAGGCCAGTGGGTTGAGTGGATGAGAGATGGATGGATGAGGGGTGGGTGCTGATATCCCTGATCCTATAGCGTTGGGTACAGGCCCAAGGGAGCACGGGGAAAAGGGAGGTTGCCCAAGAGATGCTGGAGGTCCAGGGACTTGTCTAAGCATCCCCTCTTTGTGGGCTGTAAGACCCTGGTGAAAGACACCAAGGCCAAGGCTAGTGGAGAGGAATGGCAAGTAGGAAAGAACATACATTCACGGGAGGCCTGCAGAGCTGCTGACACATATTCTGCTTGCCAGGGAGGTCTTTCTGTCTTAGGCACTGCGTACCTGGTTCCTTGCCAAGAGGGCTTAAGAAGCTAGGTTATGTGCAGAATAGAGGTGGCCGGTCCCGAGCCCCGACCCTCTGCCCAGCTCAAGCTTACTTATCCTTGGCTCACTCCAAAAGTCTGCTCTGGGTGTGGTGGAATGGAAGCTGAAACAGCTTGTAATTTGATGCCCACAGAGAAAAAAAATCCCCAGGCCTGGGTCAGGAAACACAGAGCGGCAATCAAGCCAGCTACACTGAGAGCCCCACATAGCCATGGCCGGTGCTCAGTAAGCTGAGGTCCTTTCATGATGAAGTCTTCCACAGGGTCCCGGACAGACTCACAATGTCCAGACTCCTCACTAGAGTGGTGCTCCAGAGCAAAGTCAATCCTCACTCCTCTGTCCTCCATTCTTCTTGCTGTTCAAGGTCTATCCACCCAATGGGCCATGTGGGGGAGGAGAAGCCAATACTCTTGCACCCACAGGAAACTCTTTGTGGGAGAAGTTAGTTTTACTCAAGCGAAATTCTGCCAAAAGGGAGCCTAAGTATAGGATCGCGGTTTCAGATCCTTTCTCCATAGGGAAAAGTCTCCCTGGGGTCCTTACTTGCTTCAAATGTCTTGAGATGGGAGAATGCTGGAAACAGGGCCTTCTTCAAGTGCCAGAAGTGCTTTAACTATGTTAATACCAGCAATCCTCCTGTGCCAGCAGAGCAGGAGAAAGAAGAAAGACAGGAAGAGGGCAAGGGCCATGGAAGATTGTCCATGCAATCTGCTAACAATGGGGGAAGTCGCAAATCACTTGAATGGTAGGAACTGCACGTACGCATTCCGGGCCAAGGCTGTCTCTTTCCATACCCATCCCTGTGCTTCCCTGTAAGGGGTGACTGTCGGCCTTGGATCTTGTCCAGGTCAATAATTTCAAGGCAGCCGATGACCTTGGTCGGGTAGGGTAGACTCTGTCCTTACCCCTTTGTAGATACCTATTGATGCTGCCTAAACAATCTGCAAATGGAAACAGGGACGACTGGGCTTTCGGACTGACTGCAGAGGGGAGCCCTGTCTTAAACCTACTTGGTCCAGGAGGCAGTTGGATTCCTCCCTCGGGAGGCAGAGAGACTCAGCCTGTTTGCTTCGGTTCAGATCTTTTAGGTTAGGAGAGGGACAGGCTTAGAAGGAAAACCATAACCAAAGCATCTGGAAGAAGAGCAGAATTTGCCAAACTACATGCCAGATACAAAACTGTCATGACTCAGCAGCACTGCATCATGGGAAACCCCAGTGCTAGGAGAAGAAACAGCCCAGATACAGAATATTCCCTGAACGGATGTTGTCTCCAGCATCATTATAGTCTGACACTCCCTTACTTCTGTTTGGTTTCGATCCCTCTACAACACAGTGAAAGCAATAGAAATATTGAGCGGTATGTCACAGGCACGACAGAGCACGTCCAGACTCGCACGACTGAGAACAGAAGATGCAGGGGAAAGGCTGTTTGGGGCAACTGCAGGGCAGCAGAAACATTCGCAGATAGATGGTCAGCTGGTAAGAGAGGAGAAAGGAGACCCTCCCTTTACCTAGTAAAAAGTAAAAGGGAAAAAATGCCAAACTCCCAAACCCCACCACATTAAAGTAAATTCAAAAGTAATCAGCATCAATATCATCAGGAAAGGGGAAAACCAATACAAACACATCTATGGTAATCGTGACAAGTCAGTTTGAAGCACTCACAGGAGAGCAAAAAGATTATCTCAACAAGAGAAGGAACAAATAGAAGTGTTGATTTCTGAAAGTAAAGGGGAAGGGGACAGAATAAGAACAACAAAAAACTTTTAAGAAGGGATCACATGTCTGGAAGTCATTGGTACCTCTTCCTACCAACTATAGATTTCACTTCCCAAAAACAACAGAAAACGGTTTTTGGTCCTTGTATGCATGTGTGTGTGTGTGTGTGTGTGTGTGTGTGTGTGTGTGTGTACACTCAAGGGTCGCTGTGTGTGTATATGTCCATATATATATGTGTATATATATATATATAAATTTCAACAGTGCTTCTCCGAAAAAAGGTCCATCTATAAATATAATTTTATTTATTTTAAAATTATCTGCCTCCCTGTAGGTATTATTTTTTGAAGGGGGTTAACCTGCTGAAGTTTTGCCAGAATGGTGACTGGCTGCGCTTGGGTTCGGTGAACTCAAAGACCTGCGACTGAGCGATGCCATCAGGGACGAGGTACTGGCCCTGGTTTAATGGGTCCTGCGGTGGTGGGTAGGAAGGAGGAACTGAGCGGGCAGAGTTGACACCTAGAGTAGATGAAAGATAAAAGGGAAAGGGTATAAGTTAAGTAGAAAGGGGCTTCTCAAAATCCCCAGTGACCACTGTGGGCAGACTGTGCGAAGCAGTCTATTTTAGAGCGTGGACTCGAACTGAAGATCACCAAGTGCAGACTTACGTTCTGTTTTTGGAATAGCACAGTGACCACTGCAATGACACACGCTTTCCCATATACACGAGAAACTCAGGGTGCTGCTATCAGTCAGTTTACAGATGAGCACACTGAGACCTGGAGGAAAATGCCATACCCCCCAGGTTGCAAAGCAAGGGCTGGAATTCTTGACTTCTCAGTTCACAGCTCTGTCCCAGAGACCATAATCCATTATGCAGGGCCTAGTGCTACAAATAACCCCACAATATCCATTTAATAACAAACAACATTTTCCCCTCTCCAACACCTCCCTGGAAGAGTCAAAAGAGCCTCATTAAAAACTATTGACTTCAGCCCTCACTGGCATGGCTCAGTTGGTTGGGCATCATCACACAGGGAGAAAGGTTGCTAGTTCAAATCCTAGTGAAGGCACATGCCTGGGTTGCTGAGGGTTTCTGCTTAGGGTGTGTACAAGAGGCAGCCCATCGATGTTCATCTCTCACATAGATGTTGACATCTTGATCCCTCTCCTGCCTCCCTTCCTGTCTCTAAAAATAAATACAGTCTTAAAAAAAAAAACTAGTGACTTCAAGGTGGGTCTTTGAGGGAGGGAAATGCTCTCCTAAAAGCTAAGGTACAAGTGATCTAGTCTCCTACACCAGGTCGAGTAATGAAACTATTTAATAGGAAAGTGATATTGGTAGTTGAGGGAGAACACGAACTCACCACCAGAAAATCCGATTCATGGAACACAAGAAAGACTTGGAATATATTTATGACCTTTCAAAGGGAATGATTCAATCATTTCTCAACTTTCATTAGGAGGGTTGGCAACCATCAAGGCAAAATCCAATGAGTGGAGAATTCTAGGAACCAGGGGGCCTAATATTAATGTTGAATCTTAATCTATATTCTGAACAGAATAGGCTGAGATACGCAGCATATGATTAAGAATGCAAGGGAGACCTCTCTGCTGCTCCCATATACCTTCCTCATCTGGGGCCTTGCCTGAAATTTCAACATTACAGCTTCTATCTTTGCCTTTGTTTGATGACTTGATCCCATGATGCTGGAAGTTGTATCTTATTAGGCCGCCATCAGCTATTGGCACTTCAGTGGGAAGGAACTGGTTCCTTCCTGTTGGGTTGGCCAAAAAGTCTATTTTTTCCATAAAATAAAAGACACATTTTTCATTTTTGCCAGTAACTTTATTGACTTGGATATTTTGAGTATGTCTGCTATCTCCCATGTGGTAGAACATTGATTGCTCTCAATTGCTGTCTCAATTTTATCGCTGTCAACTTCAACTGGTCTACCCGACTGTACAGCATCGTCCAACGAGAAATCTCCAGCATGAAATTTCGCAAACCACTTCAGACATGTTCAATTAGTCACAGCACCTTCTCCAAACACTGCACAAATCTTTTTTTGGTTTTACTTGTGTTTTTACCTTTTGTGAAATAATAAAGCATGTAATATGCTGAAAATGTTGCTTATTTTTTTCCTTCAATATTAAAATGGCTAAACAAAAATCCAACAATTTTGATTTTTTAAATGCACGCTGATGTGACAGCTATCACAATACAATCTAACAAAACTGTTTTGAATGAAGTTAAAGACAACTAAGTACTACTAGAGCCATCATATGGAAAAAAACAAAAACAAAAGAACTTTTTGGCCAACCCAATAAAAGAAGGCATTTTTTGCTCTTTTTTTTGCTTTCCAGTTTCATTCAGACATAACTGATATATAACACTGTGTAAGTTTAAGGTGCAAAATGTGATATTTGATACACATGTATTGCAAAATGATTACCACAATGAGGTTAGGTAGCACATCCATCACCTCACATAATCATCATTTAAAAACTACTTCTTTAGCAACTCTCGGGTATACAGTAAGTACTGTTAACTGTAGTCATCATAGTGTACATTACAGCCCCTGGCAACCACCAATCTAATTCCTGTTTCTATACATTTGTCTTTTACAAATTCCAAATATGAATGACATCGTGTAGTATTTATGCTTTATTGTCTGACTTTATTTCACATAGAATAATGCCCTCAAAGTCCAAATGTTTCCATAAATAGCAGGATGTCTTTCCTTTTATGGGTTAATAATATTCCATTGTGTATATGAGTGCGTGGGTGTGTATATACACGCACACATGTACCACATTTATTTTATTCAGCCATCCTCTGGAGGACACACACATTATTTCCATGTCTTGGCTATTGTGGATAATGCTGCAATGCATATACGAGGGTGCAGATATCTCTTCAAGTTTCTGATTTCATTTCCTTCCCATATATACTGAGAAGTGGAATTTCTGGGTAAGATAACAGGTCTGATTCTAATTTTTTGAAGACTGTCCAAACTGTTTTCACTGTGGCTTACCAATTTACAACTCCACCAACAGTGAACAAGGGCTCCCTTTGTCCACTTCCTTGCCAGCACTCGCTATCCCTTGTCTTTTTGATGACAGCCATTCAAACAGACGTGAGACAATACCTAACTGCGGTTCCAATTTGCATTTCTCTGTTTGGTGATGTTGAGCAGCTTTTTATGTATTTGCTGGCCCTCTGTATGTCTTCTTTCGAAAAAAGCCTACTCAGGTCCTATGTCCACATGTTCATTGAAATACTTGTTTGTTTTTTCTTTTTGCTATTGAGTTTATGAACTGCTTATATATTTTGAATAGTAATCCCTTATCAATATATGGTCTGCAAATATTTTCTCCTAATCCGGAGGTTGCCTTTTCACTGCGTTGTTTCTTTCACTGTGCAGAAGCTTTGTATTTTAATGTAGTCCTGTTGCTTTCTTTTTTATTCTGTTCCTTGTGCTTTGAATATCATATTCAAAAACTTGTTGCCAAGACCACTGTCAATCAGTATTTTCCCCATGTTTTCCAATAGGCCCAACATTATTGTTAACGGAAGTCACCAGTTTACACTAGGACTGACACTTTGTATTGTTTAATTCTATGACTTCACAAAAGCATGATGTCCAGCCCCCAACATTCTAGTATTTTACCTTTTATTTTTAGGTCAACAGGTTTTTCTTATCATTAATAATTTTAAGAATTCATTCTACATTTCTACATTAGTAATTTTAAGAATTCATTCTACATTCATTTCACCAGATATGTGTTTTGCAAATATTTTCTTCCAGTCTCTGTCTTGTGTTTTCATTATTTTTTTAAACATATTTTATTGAATTATTGGGATGACATTTGGTCACAAAATCATACAGGTTTCAAATATATAACTAAAAGAAACATCATCTACACACTGCATCATGCGCCCATCAACCAAAGCAAAGTCTCTTTCTGTTCCCATTTAACCCCCTTTCCCACCTACACCTACCCCCTTCACCTTCCCCTCTGACAATCACAAGACTGTTGTCTATGTGTGTGTGTCTGTCCAGAAAAAGTGCAGTCATTGTTAATAAAGTAATAACGGTTCACACAACATCAATGTAACCTGGCAGCCAAGGAGAGTGGACTGGAATGCGCATGTGTGAACAATGATGACTTCACTGTACTAGTCAGTAGGGGCGGTAGACACCATTGAGTGAGCACATGTACTGTGTGACTGTCGCATTCAAAATGACTGAGCGAGTAGAGCAACGAATCTGCATCAAATTTTGCATTAAGCTTGAATATTCCTCCGCAGAAACTATTCAGATGATTCAGAAGGCTTTGAGGGATGATGCAATGAGTGCAGTGCAAATAAAGTGTGGCACAAACGCTTCAAAGATGATCGAGAATCTGTTGAAGGTGATCCATGTTCTGGAAGGCCTGCAACAAGCAGAACACCTGAGAATGTTGAACATGTACAGGCTGCAATCAACAAAGATCGGTGACTGACAGTGCTAGAACTAGAAGCTGATCTGGGGATTCCAAAAACTACTGTGTCCAAGATTTTGACACAAAATCTTGGCCTGAAATGTGTCATGGCAATATTCATATCATGGCTTCTGCCACCAGAGCAGAAGGAATATCATGCTGCAGGTGCTAATGACTTGACTCAAACTGCTACCAATGAACCAGATTTCCTCAAGAAGGTCATAACTTTGAAGGGGACTGAGATATCATTGCCCTATATACAATGTTCCTTGATCTTCTTCAATAAATGCCTCTATTTTTCATATTACATGGCTAGATACCTTCTGAACAGACCTCAAAAAATGTATATAAAATCCCTTCACCTTCTTTCATCCAGTCCCTCAAATTCCTCCCCTTCTGAAAGGTAGCAGTCTGTTCCATGTAACCATGCTTCTTTTTCTATTTTGTTCATCATTGTATTTTATTCATTAGATTCCACATATAAGTGAGATCATATGGTATTTATCTTTCTCTGACTGGCTTATTTCACTTAACATAATGTTCTCCAGGTCCATCTATGCTGTAACAAAAGGTAAAATTTCCTTCTTTATTAGGGCTCAGTAATATTCCATTATGTGCATATACCACAGCTTTTTGATCCACTCATTTACTGATGGGCACTTGGGCTGCTTCCAGATCTTGGCTACTATAAATAATGCTGCAATGAACATAGGAGTGTACAAATTCTTTCCAATTAGTGTTTTGGGCTTCTTTGGATATATTCCCAGAAATGGGGTCATAGGGTTATAAGGTGGTTCCATTTTTGTGATTTGAGAAAACTCCATACTGTTTTCCACAGTGGCTGCACCAGTCTACATTCCCACCAACTGTGCCCTATGGTTCCCTTTTCTCCACATCCTTCCCAGCACTGGTTGTTTGTTGATTAACTGATAGCAGCCATTCGGGCAGGTGTGAGATAACATCTCATTGTAGTTTTAATTTGCATTTATATGATAAGTGATGTTGAACACCTTTTCATATGTCTATGGGCC